AACATCTTCTTCCTGAATTATACAATGTTTATTCCTCAGTTCCTTCCAATGGAAATAGGAGGCTATCTCTGGTATGAAGGCTTGCCATTAAAATGGAACTGCACGTTGTATGTAGACTTTCTTGGGCTGACATTCAGTCTTAAGGAGAAACACATCCCCTAAGAAAGATGGGTCAACATTGCCTTCTTTGCCTTTTACACCTCCTGATCATCCCTTGAACAGCTAGCTGGCTTAATGTATCAGTAATTTATAGTCCCCAGTTGGAAGGCTGCAGAGAATTCTTCATTATCCATAGTTGGGCAAATACCAGCAGTGTTATTGAAGTGGCAATTGCAATTGAATTTTGTGAGCCCTCTGTGTTCCAGCCAGTGGAGCATTGCCTGTAAGCACCAAGTGGTGTGCTAAAGATGAACACATGTCTAACAAGAAAGGATCTTCAACCGAAGCTCAGTAGCACTCAGCCAAAAAGAGCATATTGATTTGATGACTTGACTTCTGATACTGCGCGATTTGGAATGGGATCCATTCAGAAGGGTGACGATGAGTACCTACAAGAAGGCTATTGGGAGCGAAATCTAATATTTTCCCCGAAATCCTTATCAAAAACTTCATTGAAAATTTCATCAAGTAGAGCTTTGCGTATGACAAATGATCTCCTTGTCTAGTCAAGGGTATCCTTGCCTCCCTCTTTAATTGAATCCTTGTGTGGGAAAGGCGATTCCTGAAATAAATTCTGATGATAGTCTTCAATGAAATGTGCCTTATCACTAGTCCAGCGAGCAAGTGCTTTCAAAGCTTCACACTTGCAGGGTGACCTCACACGCTCACCACTTTGCAATGCTGTTTCTAAAAGAGAACATTTATGGTTTGGGAAAATAGTTCAGAAAAGGAGAACTTTTGGAATTGTTTTGGTTGCTCAAAATACACTTGGCCTCGGTGACTGTGGCCCTCTTGAAAGGAAACAGCTCTGACTTGGAGCTTAGGCAGACCCCGAGTTTGAATGCCTCCCCTCTCATGCACTCTGTCCTTAATAGGTCATTCAGCTTTTTGTGTCCCTCTCTCTTTCCTTACAAAACTGAGCTCCACACGGTCTGGGGAAATGGCTCACTTGTAAAGAGCTTGCTGCGGAAGTGTGAGGACCTGAGTTTGAATCCCCAGAACCCATGCAAGAGACAGAGTGTGGCAGTGTACCCTGTAATCCCAGTGCTGCAGTGCGGGAGATAGGAGGATCCTTGGGGTTTGATGGGTAGCCATTCTAGCCAAATCAATGAGCCCCAGATTCAGTGAGAGATCCTCTTCCCCCAAATAGAGTGGAGAGAAACTGAGAAAGAATATAGTGTTGATCTGGCTTCCACACACACACCACAGAAACACATACACTCAACTCAATAATCTACATATACATTAACTATATATATATATATATATATATATATATATATATATATAAAGGAATGTGCCTTTGCCTTTTACAGTAACAGCTATCATTTACAAGCCTGCTGTGTGACAGGCAAAACCAACTACATTGAGAACATATCATCTTAACTGTGTAGTTCGTATGTAGAGTGAATGACTTGGCCTACTCTGTGTGAGACTGGTCTAAGTTTACAATGAAAAGTCTTGAATCTTCAGGACCATCTCAGCTGAGGACGAAGTAAAGCAATTCTTCATATTGTCTCACTTTACAGGTGTGAAACTGGAGACCTAGGCACAAACTAGGTTAGAACTGGGAAAGAATCAGTCTTGAATACATCCCAAGCCAGTGCTATCTGGGGCCCTAAACTCAGCTCGGTCAGTATTGGTTCTCTTACTGTGTTACAAGAACATTTTGAGCTGCACAAAAATTCGTACGTCAGATCACATTTTTCTAACCTTTAATTACAATTTCAGGAATGCATGTGTGAGGGGGTGTTTGTATGTGTTGGAGAGAGAGTGAGAAAGAGTGATAATAAGAATGAAATTCTGGCCTTTATTTAAAAGAACAACCAGTATTCTGTGAACGCAGAAACCATCCACGAGTTACTTACTCAACAGGTATTTAAGAAGAGGTGCTGTGTGTAAGAGACTTGGTGGGATATAACGGAGGCAAATACACTCATCGCGTGTGTAAAAGGAGTATGAAGAATCAGTTGCAAAATAGCACTAGGACTTTGATACTAGAGGCAAGTTGCAAACCCATGTCCTGCAAGGACATTGCCCAGCTGCTCTTTCATGAAATGCTTGAACTACACGAAACCGCCTGGGCCTTCCTTCATGCTTTCTAGTCCCTCCCCTTTTTCTCTTCCCTCCTCCTTGTCTGTCCTTCTTTTTCTGCATTTGTATTGCCTGCTATTTTTGACGGGAGGGTTCATCTCCCTTTCCTTTGTCACTTAGAGGAAATGTCACCTCTTCAGGAACAACTGAAGAGTTGTCACTGGCCACTTGTGCTGCCTAGTCTTATGTCAACTTGACATAAGCTAAAGTTCCCTGAGAGAAGAAACCTCAATTGGGAAAATGCCTCCATAGCATTGGACAGTAGCAGCCTGTCGGCCATTTCTTACTTTGTCATTGGTAGGTGATGGCGTTGTGAGTGGTGCCATCCCTGGGCTGGTGATCCTGGGTTCTATAAGAAAGTGGACTGAGTGAGCCATAAGGAATAAACCAGTAAACAGCATTTCTCTAGGCCTCTGTACCAGCCCCTGCCTCCAGGTTCCTGTTCTGTTTGAGTTTCTGTCCTGACTTCCTCCAATCAACCGTGATGTAGGAATAGAAACCAAACAAACCCTTTCCTCTCCAATTTTCTCTTTGGTCATGATGTTTCATTACAGCAATAGAAATCCTAGCTAAGACTCCACCTCAAGGCACTGTTTCGATTACGAATGTATGTATGTATTCACTGCCCAATTCTTATCGTCTATACTCTTTTCTTTGGGGTCTTGCTTTTCCAAACTGTAAATGCCAGAAAGAGGGGGTAGCCTGTTTAATTTATTCCTTGTTTTGTCTTCAGTTGTATCCCAGGGATTTAAAGCAATGCTAGGCCCACAGAGGTAAACTAAATGTTAACTAAATGAGAAAAATGAACTGATTAGCAACTGCTATTGGTTGTTGAAGAGCAGCTGACTCTACATGTGGCAGTCATTAAAGCATGACTTGAAGGGACATCTTCATCCAGCCTCATTTTTTTTCCTAGTTATAACAATAGTGCATCCCCACTTTAAAAAAATGCTGACAGTTATAAAAATGTAAACAGCACTAACACTAATCTTTTTTAGACTTGTAATATTTATGTTGTACAATTTTCACCTAGTTCATCTTCTTTGATTGATGTTCATAGATGTTGTTTTAAGACATGGTCTTGTTTTAACACCACCTGGCCTTGAATTTGTAATCCTTCTGCCTCAGCATCAACTGGAATTATATGTGTGTACCACCACACCAGGTTCTCAGATATCTTCAAACCAAACAGCAACAAATTCCCTTTTTAAATAGCTCTATACTTGGGAGGTGTGTGTTTTCATTCTCATTTAATAATTGTTTTTCCTAAAAATTGATACATTATGACTTATCTAGTTAAATCCATGTTGTTGGAACTCATTATGAAAAGGATGTATTTAAAGAACTCCAAAGTAGATAATCCTCGTGTGTACTCATGTGTGTATGTATGTGTGTAGGTGTGAATGTTCAGGTGTGTGTGTTGTGTGTGTGTGTGTGTATGTGTAGGTGTGAGTGTGTATGTGTGTGGGTGGGTATGAGTGTGCAGATGTATGTATGTGTGTGTCTGTGTGTGCCAGATGTCAATGTCTTTCTCTTTTCCTTTCTACCTTATATCTTTGACACTTTGACACAGGGTCCCTCATTAAATCAGGATTTTTATGTTTTAGCATTACTATCTGGCCAGCGAATCCCAGGGATCCTTCTGGCTCCACCCTACTCCACCAGTACTGGGAACACACCTGTGCACTGCCTCCCCCAGCACCTCAGAGCTCTAGGTCTGTGGAGCAGGCACTTGGTCACTCTGAGACTTCTTCGTGGCTTTTTCTTTTTACTTTCTGGTTTTTTTATATTTCATGAACAACCAGAAGACATGAAGCGTACTGAATTTATATCATTATGCAAATTAGATGACATAATGGAAGTGAAGTGCTTGGCCAATGTAAGTGTGTGCAATAAATGTTGGATGGCCTTGAAATCTCCTGTGAACCAGCTTTTAGAAGTCCAATGTGCTTTGCAGTTTATCTGGAAGGCAAACATAAACTAGCCATAAAGATGGATGGGAAGGAGGCTACAGTCAGAGGAAATGAAGCTGGAAAAAATTCATTTTTTAAAATGTTGGTTGAACTGTGCATCAACTAGAAACTTCAAACTATAAGAACTCATAGTAACTGTGGCTCAGCTCTTACATAACCCAGATGGCAGCTCTGGTCATGTTTCTACTTTGTATCATCACTGGAAATACAGGTGCCTCTCGGGATCCCTGAGAGTCTGAGTCTCGGGTCTCCTGTGGAAACCGTAATCCATAGGTGCTCAAGGTCCTCATACAGAACAGAAGTATTTGCGTAGAACACATACATACCCTCCTCTATATCTCATCATCATTGGATTATTCATAATAGCCAATATAACACTTGTGCTATGCAAATAATTGTTACCTAGGCAACCAATCTAGGCAAGATTGATTGCTGCAAGTGCAAACTTTTCAAGAGCATACTAATGATTTCACCTGGGTAAAGGGGATGGAGGCTGGGATTCCTTTAACTTGATACAGGAGTATAGAGAAATGAATATTGATGCCCAGAAAGAAAATTCAGGTATCAGTGTACAAGGATGTGGGGCAGGGGGGCTTCTGGAAAATGACTGGGGTTGAAGATAATGGTTTGAGGAATGGCATAGAAAATATCTGAGACCTTGGTAATGGAGATCACTGGACACAGTAAAAGCTGTCTTTCATTTCCTTCTGATAAAGAGTTACGAGTTCATCACAAAGTATCTGCTTTCAACAGATGCTACTGATTGATGTCCTATTTAATTCATGGATTTTTTATTTTCAGGAAACAACATTAAACTTGTAACACGAACCAAAATACCAGAGTCACGCACTGATAACATTGTAGTTTTAAAAGTTGGGTCTGACAACTAGAGAAATTAAAAAGAATATCTTACAAAATGTATAATTTATATTTTTATAAATACTTTAAGGACAAAAGTGGCGATGTCAGAGGGATGTACAAATTGCACTTTGCAGCACATTTTGTGATCTTCATCTATTAGACACACTTAAGCACATGTGTATATTTTGTGCTTTCATAGCTATGACCAAAGGATGTGTCTTAAACAGGCCTTCAGTAACTTTAAACTCTCATAAATTTTGTGGATTCTGCCCTCCGTTCTCTAAATTGCACTAAAAGCACATTTGAAAGGCATCAGTGACTATAATTAGGTGTTGTGGAGCTCAGTGCGCTGTTTAAGTATGAGAGCTTCCCTGCTGAATTATGGAGTGAGCCTCAGCAGCCGTCAGGATACACATGATGAGCTGAGAGGCCCTGTCATCTCTGCACTGGGAGCTGTGGGCTCAGCTTCTTTCGCTTGGAAAGGAGTCAGCTTGTCTACAAAGGAGAAAGTTCACGACACCGGTCCACTCAATTAACAGACATTCCACGCTGTAGACACAGCGCACTTCCTACCGCTAAGTAGAAAACTACTCTGTGAACTTCGTGTCCAAGAGCTGAATGTTTCCTTTGATCGTGAACTTGGGGGTACAGAGTTGACGGTTCCCAAGGAGCTCAGTAGAGACCCCTCAAGTCAATCTCAGTATATGGTGATCTACATGTGCATGTTCAACATGTCTTAGATTTCACTGTGTCGTCCATTTCTGTGACGTTTATTGGGATTGAACAGGTGCACAGAAAATGAATGGGATGTGATGCATTCTACAGATTAAGCCATCTATCTGACTTCAATTTACACAAATTTACACTTGCAATAACCAGCACAGGAAAGCAAGTCACCCTTAAGCCATATCCTGAGCTTACCTCGATTCCAAGTTTACATTTGGAACACTTTTCATTTTAAAAATAGACACATATAAATGACCTCATGTGATCACAGAAACATACATGGGACGCTTCTTCACTATGTTTCTTATATTCAGGTGATGTTAGGCCATGCAGCAGTGACCGTTTGCCTGCATCCGTGTGCTTACTGGACACGTGTTACATTTCTCCTCTGCTGGTATTCGGCTCCAGCTCCTGGAGGAAGGCCTCATTGTTCTGAGGGCAGTTGGAGTGACAGGTGCAGGTTCCAATGACCATGACCGATTTCTTGATGCTTTGCCCCGGGGAGCACTGAAAGTCCACCTGGATGGTTTTGGTGTTGTGGGGAGTACAGCACCGGCCATCGCTGCAGACCCCGCAGAACCTGGGCTTATAGGTATGCAGGCTAGTGCAATTCTTGAACTGCAGGTGGATGGCTTTCAGGGACTTCTTGGTGCGGAGACACTTTTTAGCTTTCTAAGAAAGAAAAGAAGAGCACTGAGTGGAAATCCTGCACTTCTTCTGAAGGACCGCTTTAGAGGTTGACCCACCCACCCAATGCCCTTTGCTCCTCCTTCTTTTTAAACAAATCATTAACTTTGTTTAGACAATCTTGTCAACTAAAATCAGTTGCTTCCCCAGAGTACCTAGGAACATTTAGCCAATACTAACACCAATCCAATAATTCTGGACAGTCTTCAGCCTTTTCGACAATTCTTATTTGTCTTTTACATTCATTTACTTTTCTGGGTAGAATTTTAACATAATACTAAATATGCAGAATCCCCTTTATCTTTGAGGCTTCAAACATGAAAAAGAAAGAACCTGTCTCATTTAAAGCCATTATTTTATTTATCTAAATGCATTCTTTGATGTAATTGAGAGAGGGATTGAATGTGTCATTATTAAAGTCTATTAATGTTTCAAAGACTTTTCAGGCATTAATTCATTTAAGTTTGACAATATTCATTCACATAAGAGTAACTGTTAATAAAAGGCACAACTGATGCAATTTTATTTGAAAAGCAGAGTCTCAAAGGACCGATAATCAGAAAACAAGTGCCAAGTTTTGGAATTTGTCTGATTCAGAGCCAGTTCCTCCCAATACATTGTGATCTTGGAAATTCTAGGACAATGAAATTTAAGATTCTTTATGTGGTGCTGAATTGGGCGGAGAGTTTACTCAACATCCTATCCTACCAGCTCAGAGAATAAAGAAACCACCCAATTTCATTGAACAAGCAAACAAATGACTTTCATTTCCTCCTCCACTTTGAATATGCGACAGTTCTCCACTGCCCACCTTCTCAAACACTCATGCACATTGGCATCAACTTGGGGGTTTGTCAGAACACAATTGTTGGTCCTACAACCAGGGTTAGCACATGTGATGCGAGGCCGGTGAATCTTCAGATGCTACTGCTTACATGGGGACTACACAAGAACCTGTCATAGACTTAAGAAATCTCAGAAACAAGAATCTAGTTCTATGTTCCAAACACATTTGCAGAACCTGTATAAAATACGTACACCATGTAAATATGTACAACTTAAGTATAGTATTTCCCAATATAACAGGGGGTGTTAAGTTAAAAGAAGCATCAACTGTGCCAAGGAACAATACAAAAGACCAAAATCTAGAAGCATTATATAAAAAAGGTCCTCTTTAATAAACAAGTAGCTATACTCATGGAAATTTTGAAGGTCCTATCTCTCCTGTTTTGTAGTCCCGTGTTTAAGACATATTCTTTCCAATGGCCATTCAAAGCTGGAGGTAGCTGTGGGTTGTGTGACTGCTTCTGTGGGTGAACTTCTTTGGGAAGCTGCACATGTGTTTCCTAAAGTGTTAGAAGGTACATTTCTAGGGTATGACTTTGGAGAAAAGGTGTTTCTAAGTGTTCTTTCAAAATTTGCAGAAGGAACATAAAATTGAGATAAGTATCTAAAATCATATAGCTGAACTGCCACATAATGAGATCTCAACGGACTCTTGTTTCAGTGGTAGGGAAAACATTTAAGTGTTTGATGGCTGACGTTAATAGAATATTAAGTCTGTGTCCCACATTTTGCAAATTCACTTTATTTAATCCTTATGAAAACCTCAAGATAGATGTTTTCCTTTTCTCTTTTTTCTTTCTTCTCTTTCTTTTGAGGAAGGGTCTTTCTGAACAGCCCTGACTTTTCTGGAAGTCTCTATGGAGACCATGCTGGCCTCAGACTCACAGAGTTCATCCTGCCTCTGCCTCCCAGGTGCTGGGATTCAAAGTGTGTGTGACTACACTAGGCAAGAGATATTTCCAATGGTAACACTCTGTGGGGAGAGAATTGAAAATAAATTGTTCAGTGTCACACAGTTAGCTAGCTAGGTCATATTGAAAGGATTTAAAGCCAGGCTCAACAGGTCTAGCGTTGTCCCCTTAAACATTATATGATGCTGCTTCAGAGTAGAGACACACAGAGTTTCTAGGGTCTGTTCTATTTCGGCCTCAGGCTGATGTGTGGATCTATGTAATGGCTAAGTCTGATATTACATTTGTCTGGTCCAGTTCTGCAACAAGACCTGCTATGTCATCAGGAACAAATTAGAGCTCTTAGTCTTCACACCTTATACCCAGAATCAACATACTGTGTTGACATAATTCCACCCCCCCCAAAAAAAAAGAAAAAGAAAAGAAATATACTGTTTCATTTGGCTCAGGTTGCCTTACTCTGGCAAATGTACTATTTCTACCAGGCTTTAAAAATATTGTTGATAGTTCCCAGACAGCCATTCAGCCATGTACTGATAGCTGTTTATTGTGTACACACTATGTCCCAGGGCTCACAGTAGGATGTGGTGACTTCAAAGTCAAAAAAGCAGACACAGCCCCTACTCTGCCCCTTCCTATAGTCGAAGGGCCTGATTTATTTAATGGCACCTGATTTATTTAAAAAACTAACCTTGCGAAAATCAGCTCTACTTGACCACTGGGGAGTTATTTTTTTTCCTCCTGGGACAGGATGGGATTTACCCGAACATCATTTGGATAAAGCATTCGAGCTGTGTGCCCTTTCTCATTTGTTTGTAGAACTGGTATGAGTGGCTTGGGGGTTTTTATGCACGTTAAGAAAGAAAGACAGAGAGTACGGTTTTGATTCAGGATGCTCCACACCCTTTGGCTGGGTGAATAGTCAACCAGAGCAGATTTTTCACCAGTGTGACAGTGACTTTCTGAAGGCCAGGCTTCAAGGAGACCGCTGCTGTACGCGAGCCAGGCCTCCTGTAGACTCCTACCTTGTCTGTTGGCTGTGTGGGCTCTTCCTCACAAGGCCGAACCATGCAGAGACGAGTCTGCTTCACCATCTCACACTGGCGATTCCTGTTGGTGACCCGGGTGGACAAGCCCATTCCACAGCTCTTGGAACATGCGCTCCACTCTGTGGTCTGCTCAATGCAGTTGATGCTGGAGTCAGAGACTTCAACTCCGACGGTGGCTTCTGGCCTGTAGGCTATCCAAGGCATAAATACAGTTATTTGAGTAAAATATTGGGATAGACATGTGTTGTCACTTAGATAACACTGGACAGTGAATTAGAATAGAACTAGCGCTAGCTATAACCCAACGCAGGACTTCAAGAAATCTTTATTCACATGACCCTAAGAAGCTTAGGATAGCTTGTAACAGAAACTTAGGCATTATATGAACACAGGACCATATAGCATCATCAGCTGAATGTTTTCAACATGTCATTTGGTACACACAAATGTTATGTTAACAATTTAATTTTGTGTGTGTGTATATATATGTGTGTGTGTATGTGTGTGTGTGTGTGTGTTTGAAGGTGTACATGTATGTGTATGTATATATACACATGTGCATGGAGGCCATAGGTCTACCTCAAATGTTGCTCCTTAGGAACTCATTCACAGAAGTCTTGGGCTAACTGATTAGGTTAGTCTATCTGGCTAGTGACCTCAAGTGACCTGTAGATCTCTGCCTCCTCAGTATTTTTTTTAAGGATCCCGGAGATCCAAGGAAGGTCCTCACACTTGCACTTCAATAGCTTTGCCAATTGAGCTACACATGACATTTTAACTTTGGTGAGTAAGTAGAGCCAACCTAATCAAAAATCCAGGAAAGGGATTTTTACTCAGGGTCAATCAGGAGATACAGAGTCAAAAAAATACCCATGCAATAATGCAAAAATGAAACAGAAGTGACTGTCTCAGTCACACCCCTTTACAAGAGAAACTGTGTGAATATTTGTGCAGTCTGGCTCAGATTTAAACAAATGATGCATTTGATCTCAGGGGGACATCTGAAATTCACAACAGAACGGCCAGCCGCAAGCCAGCTTCTCATCTCAAATCCTAGAGCGATGCCTGCTCTGTGACTACATTTCCCCTAGTTCCCCTGTGTCTGCCAAGTTCCTCACCTGGAAGGGCCAGGCCTCCCAGTGTCCCCTGCTCATTTGGACCACAGGCCCATTTCTCACAGCACTCCCCAGGCACTGCAACTTTCCTTGGAGCTGGGCAGTCAGGACCGGGCAGCAGCACATCCAGTTGGCAGCGGGGCACACAGCCAATCTGCCCATCTCTGCAGGTGCAGTGGTATTGACAGTTTGGTTCAAACTTCTCTCCGCTGCGGTAAATGACCCCATCGAACACACAGTTGTCTCCCTCTAGAACTGGAATATTTGGGGAGAGGAGAGAGAGAAAAAAAATCAAAGCACAGTTTAACTGGATAGCTGTGTAAGATTGGAAGGACACTGTCAGAAGTTTTTCTTTTTCTAGTTCAGATGACTGGTTTATACATCTCAAGGAGAAATAGGTCCTTGTAGATGCTTCCAGAACAAGGAGAAGACACCTTCTCCACCTGGCCCTTTTGTCTTCACCTAGTTCTTATAAATGAGCAAAGAGGTGGACTCTAGATACTGGTGATATATATGTTCTGGCTAACTGATGGCTTCTAACAGTCTCTACTCCCTTCACAAATCTCCTACCCTGAAATGATTTAATTTCCATGATAGAGCAAAGGCGAGAACAATTGGTGATGTCACACTCCAGAGACCCTATCTCCAAAGATAAGATCACTTCCCCCACACCGTCTCCAATTCTTCTTCTACAGTAGTTTAGGATTTAAAACCAGATCGTTTCACTGGGCAGATTAGAAAGGGCATCAAGAGTTCTTAGCACTGACACACAGTAAGTCATCACTAGCTTGGTGGAAAAAAAAAAGAGAAGACTTGCTTCAAGCTCCTACCAAGGGAGGTAGGGACCACTCTGATTACAGCAGTGTGTCTCATGGGAAATTGATCGCCCATTGATTAATTTTCATGAGCCTGCCCTGGCTAGTCGCCTGCATTTTATTTTATTGCAGCCCAGACAGGAGTGACATAGTTCTCCCAGGAGACAGGAATTGCTTTGGCTCAAGCAGGACAATTACAGGTGTGAAAACAAATGTGCTGGGCTAGAGTCAGGGGGAACTGGAGGCCTCTGAGTAAGCCCTTACTTCCATCTCATCATCCTAAGTGTTCCCCTGAAAGTGGCCAAATGAAATGATTTCACTGGCCCTTAAACTCTGCTTTTGTCCCCCTGTCTAGGGGCTCTGAGTATGCATCCTTTCAGTCAGATGCCTGGTACCCAGTAAGCTCTCCATATCTGTCAAGTATTGCTACAAATGTTTTTGCTTCGTTCTCTCCAGGAAAGGGGGAGAGGCCAGCAAAGGGAGGGAACCGTTTCACCTAGCTGCCCAGGGAGAGGTCAGGCCACAGAGGGGACAGCAGGCGGCGGGGGCGGACCGGATTACCCATGCATATGCCAGTCTGGTTGCTGGGGTCTGCGCTGCGGTCACAGTAGAGGCCACTGCTCTGGTCGCAGGGCTGCAACTCAGAGCAGCTCTCTCCGCGCTGGCGGGCGCACACCAGGCAGCAGGAGCAGCCGTCCAGCACCGAGCGCACCCCGGGGGCGCAGGTCGGTGGTGTAGAGGGACACTGGAGCGGGCACGAGGACGGGCAGCGCTGGGTTGCAGTCACCTAGGAAAAGAAGCAAGGCAAGAAAAGGAACCCTGGTGATCAGAAACAACCTAAGGCAGAACGAGCGCGGGACCGATTAGGGTTAGTCTAGAAGGGCCAAGTAACCCGGGGCATCTTTAGCGTGCGCCACTTACTTGATTTGAGAGATGGAAGAGCAGGAAGCCTAGGCAGAGGCATCGCTTTCTCAGGAAGGTGCTCATGGTCTGCATGCTCCGCATGCTAAGGCCGTCACGGACTGGAAACGGGGGCTGCCCCTTCACTCAGGTCAGGCTGAGCAGGGAGCGCCACCCGTGCAGGTTTTATAACGCGCTCCAGGAACGCGCACAAGCCGGTTGGCTGCGCTGGGAGTGGGGGCTGGAGGGGAGTCAGCTGGGTGGAGAAGTGGAAGGAGCTCTGATGTTGCCATGGTGATGGGCCCCAAGGCTGCTCTCCTTAGGGCGTGGTGCCCGGTCTGCGTGTGCCTGTGTGTGTGGCGACTGGCTTTTCCCAGAGCACCGGGAGGGGCAGGGTGGAGCCCCGAGGCCAAGACCCAGAGCCAGCTACAGCTCGTGGGAAGGAAACGCCCTCTTCCTCTGTGTAAGTTATTTCACCTTCCCCGAGGAGGAAGACACCACTATTCCCTCCGCCTGAGCTGTTCTGTTCCAGAACCAGGGCTACAAAGGAGGAGCTCTTGACCAGGATGCCTGAAGTTTGTGGCCCTATGAGCAGGGCAGGGATTGGCCAGAGGCCCAGAAGTTTAGTCATGAGGGAAGCACATGCAAGTTTGTCACCGTTTATTAGGGTACTCTTTGAAATGTGTTAAGGGGTTGGGGATAAGGAAAGGACACACATACACACACACACACACACACGCACACACACACGCGTACACACGCTCGCACACACACACTCCGTCAGAGTGGGGAATGCTATTGGACAAATGACCAAATTCTTCTGATTGTAATCATTCCAAGATTTGCAAAGTCTCAAGACCCAAGTCACACATGCTCAGTAGAAATAAACACAAAACAATGAAATACAAATAAAAATAAGGGAGGAGGGAGAAACATTCCGTGGTAGAGGGAAAGGTTGGAAGCACCTGCCTTATCGCACCAAATGTAAAACCGCTCCAAACAGTTCAGGTTCCCACGCAAGCCTCACTGGGTTGCGCTCAGCGCCCGGATGAATTGAGAAGGCTTTTGCTTGACATAACTGAATAATAGCTCTCCGACCTGGTATTCATTTGCAAAAAGAAAAGGTGGTCTGCTGTGGTATGCTTGCTGGTTTTACTCTATCAAAGGTGACCCCGCGTGACAGATTTAAAACAGGCTTTCCTCCTGTACTTCAATATTGCACCCAAGAAAACTATGCCCAGCCCCGTTGAGGGATAGCTACTCTGGAAAGACACTTTGTGAGAGAAGTTATATAGGCCTGTGATGTAATTCTAGACTTTACAAAGAAACAAATTGCCCCTACATTACCGACCTTCAGCAGGAGAGAAACAAATGTCAGCGTGTATAGTGTCTCTACAATGTTCCAAGATGGCAGTCACTTCCACCAGGTTTTTTTTTTTTTTTTGGTTTTTTTGAGACAGGGTTTCTCTGTATTGCTTTGGAGGCTGTCCTAGACCTCACTCTGTAGACCAGGCTGGCCTTGAACTCACAGAGATCCACCTGCCTCTGCCTCCTGAGTGCTGGGATTAAAGGCGTGCACCACCACCGCCCAGCACTTTCACCGTTTTTATGGTAATTTTTTTTTACAGCTTGGAACTGCCCAGATGCATGCCCACAAGGGCAGCGATTCTGCTTTCTTTGAAAAGCATCCAGTGTTTACACAGACGTGGGAAAGTTGACTTGCACTTCTGATTGGGGGCATTCAATTACTTGCTAGGTTAATGGGCTTCATGCATCACTTGGCTTGGTGATGCCTCCCTCTGGCTGCATCTCCGAGCCAATTAGAGTGCATGCCTTCCCAAATTACAGATTCTTGGGCCTGACACTTGCCCTTCTTCTTGGTGGTTCTGGGTATGCTGACTGTGTGGTAAAATGGAGGCCAACTTTGGGGAAAGCAAGTAGGAGCAGAGCTAGCAGGGCACCAAGGCTTTGGCCGTGCTCCCAAAGCATCCGTAGACTAAGACAGGATGAGGACCCACAGGCAGCACTTGGTTGGGCTAACTCTGGGAATGGGTGAGGGGGCAAGAAAGGTGCAACATGAAGACAAGGAAGGAAAAGGCAAAATCACTGCTGCTAGGACTCCCACTGGTGAGTGAGAGAAACTGCACTTGAATAAGTTTTGCCTGAGGAGGGTTTTGTTAGAAGGATGCTGTGATGTTTCCATAGTAACCAAACGGGATTAGTGCAACTTCGTCTCAGGGCCTTGAAGGCTGTCAAGACCAAGTCTCTTAAACAGTCCTCACAGCTTCTCGGTGTTGTGACAACATGAGCCAGTTTCTTCCCTCTACATCAGTGGTTCTCAATCTTCCTAACACTTCCACCCTTTAATACAGTTCCTCATGTTACGGTGGCTGCCAACCATAAAATTATTTCCATCGCTACTTCATAACTGTAATCTTGTTACTGTTATGGATTGTAATGTAAATATCTGACATTTGACCCACAGGTTGAGAAACACTGTTATTAAGGGAGGGATAATTCTTCCAAGTTTCTGATTGTTGTGGTCACATCATCACAAGGTGAAAAGTAATAGAGGAGTGAAGACACCTAAGGCTGACCTCTGGTTTCTACTTACACACACACACACACACACACACACACACACACACACACACACAGAGAGAGAGAGAGAGAGAGAGAGATACACACACACAGACATACTCACAAAGAGACACACAGATACACACACAGACATATACACACACACTTTACACCTAATCTTCCCTTCTTCAACAGTATGTATCTATTGCCTATACTGTATAAAAAATAGAGAGATTTTAACAAACTTTTTTAAAGAAAAAAATGTCCAGAAATTGAGAAAAGATTATGCAAGTGAAAATTGTTGGATGTGTGAAAAATAAGTTAGCTAAGGACTTCCTTTTAGGGAAATGGTGCCAAATTTAGGTATTCAAATCATGTTTTTAAAGTTTTCTTTATTGGAAAGGACTCTGTGTGTCTTATATTCAGTCCACACTCACAGTTCTTGGTTACCAGAATATTCTCATATTCTCTCTCTCTCTCTCTCTCTCTCTCTCTCTCTCTCTCTCTCTCTCTCTCTCTCTCTCTCTCTCTCTCGGGTTGCTCTGTGTATCCCTGGCCATCCTGGAATTCACTTTGTATACCAGACTGTCCGCAAACTCAGAGATCCGCCTGCCTCTGCTTCCCAAGTACTGGGTTTAAAGGCGTGCGCCACCACTGCCCGGACAGAATTCTCCTTCTTTGTCGACAGCAGAAGTGGCTTTGTACTACTTGGCTAGGCGAAGCCAGTGCTACTTCTAAGACTTGAACTCTTGAGACTAAGAGTTGACACTGGAGACAAGACATCCATATATGATCAACACATCAGGTTATCTGGTAGCTTCATAATGGTTGACAGGAAACTCAACTCATAAATATTGGGGAGAAAATATATATCAAAATAGGAAGTCATAGTTAAATACAGGGAAATATCCAATTAATTTATTGTCCCCAGAAAAAGAAGAAAAAATCATATTCTGTGTATGAGGGAACTCCTATTTATATTTGGAGCCTGAAAATACTTACATAATCTCTCCCACTCTAAAATTTCTGAATTTTCAGCTGGGAGAGATGTGTGACCACAGAACTTTGGGGAAAGTTTACAATGTAAATGCTCACACTGTCCAATCATTCATAGACAACTGCTTTATATTCCATGATGTGAATCAAAGATGAATAAGATGCTTTGTTTCAAGAATTTTATGACTTAGCAGGAAAATGAAGTTAAAAAACTACTGGGTGAGGCCACATGTGATAATTCCTACAAATAAACATAAGCAAAGTAGCATAGCAATGTAAAGACGAAAGAAACGTCTTTGCTGTGCGAATTTAAGAATTTGACAGTGGTGGATGCTGGGAAGAGAACATTGGGAAAGACAACTTATTGTCTTCCCTCTAGTGGACATTGCTTCAGAGACTGAATGTCATTAAATTTGGTTAGGCTTGGGCACGTGTGTTGATCACAAACAATGTGAACAACAGTATGATGAGGGAATCTCTGAACTTGCTCAGGAAATCACAAATGGTTGAATGTATCGGGAACAAATGATGCCTGCAGGAGATGAAGTTGGAAAAGAGCCCACAGTGGTCCCCTATTGTGGAGAGTTCCTGGTTTACAAACTTACCTATATTCAGGGTATACATGGAAACTCTTTCTTCAGGGATTCAAGCTGCCTTACACCAGGGGGAGTTAAGGGGAGAAGGGGAAGACTTGTAGTTGATGTGTTCATGTAATTCCTTGTCTGGTTTGAGGCACCTAAGCGTTCCCTCCTCCACAATGGCTTGTCTATCGGTGTCACCCTTGTTCTGGCTCAACACTAACTCTTGTTTTCTGTGACGGGCCATTTAAAAGTTCTTCAGTACAGTTTATTCTGCAGGTTCCACCCCTGTGTCTTTCAACAGTATTCCCTAAAGCAGTTTATAGTATTGCTTCTTGCTTTTTCCAATGTCCACATTTTGCATTCATTAGCTTTTCTTTTTGTGAATGAGGGCTACCTCTCTTACATCACAAAGGACCATTCTATGCTTTCTTTACACGGCCACCAAGTCTCCATTTTTAAGTTTCAACAGGAATTTCTGTTTCAGTAAATGCTGTTTACGTCATCTAACTATGATAATCTAAGTTGACAGTTGATGGTGCATTGTAGTTACACTTACTGTCTTATGAAACTCTGTACTTATTTTACTTCATCAGATGAATTCACAGAAGAATTTCAGGTCCAGATGAATTCACAGAAGAATTCCACTAGATGAATTCACAGAAGAATTCCAAGTCCAGATGAATTCACAGAAGAGTTCCACTAGATGAATTCACAGAAGTCCACCAGACTTTCAAAGAACTACAACCACTCATTCTTAAACTCTTCAAAAAATATGAAGAGAAGGAACACTCCCACACTCGTTATATGAAATCAGTCTCATTCTAATACCCAAGCCAGTAAAAAACAAACAACAACATCAACAAAACTACAGACTGATATTCCTGATGAACATACTTGCAAAAATACCCAATAACATACTAGCAAACCAAATACAAGCAAATAACAAGAACAGCAGCCACCACTATCAAGTTGGTTTTATACTGAAAAGGCAGGATTTGTTCAATATACATAAGTCTATAAATGTAATAAATCATAACTGGGCTTAAAGACAAAAATCATATGATCATCTCAATAGATCCTGAAAAGGTTTTGATGAAATCAAACATGTTTTCATGGTAAATTTCATAGAGAGAGTAGTACCAGAGGAAATGTTCTTTCAACCAAAATTATCCTATAGGGAGAAAAACTTGAAACAATATCA